CCTCTGTTCTGTTCCATTGGTCTATATCTCTGTTTTGGTACCAGTACCATGCTGTTTTGATTACTGTAGCCTTGTAGTATAGCTTGAAGTCCGGTAGTGTGATGCCTCCCTCTTTGTTCTTTTTGCTTAGAATTGATGTGGCTATGCGGGCTCTCTTTGGTTCCATATGAAGTTTTAAGTATCTTTTTCCAGTTCTGTGAAGAAGGTCATTGGTAGCTTGATGGGGATAGTGTTGAGTCTGTAAATTACTTTGGGCAGTATGGCTATTTTCACGATATTCATTCTTCCTAACCATGAACATGGAATGTTTCTCCATCTGTTTGTGTCCTCTCTTATTTCGTTGAGCAGTGGCTTGTAGTTCTCCTTGAAGAGTTCCTTTATGTTCCTTGTTAGTTGTATTCCTAGGTATTTTATTCTCTTTGTGGCAATTGTGAATGGCAGTTCGTTTTGAATTTGGCTCTCTTTAAGTCTGTTATTGGTGTATAGGAATGCATGTGATTTTTGCACATTGATTTTGTATTCTGAGACTTTGCTGAAATTGCTTATCGGTTTCAGGGGACTTTGGGCTGAGACTCTGGGTTCTTCTAGATAAACAATCATGTCGTCTGCAAATAGAGACAATTTGACTTCCTCCTTTCCTAATTGAATACCCTTTATTTCTTTTTCTTGCCTGATTGCTCTGGCTAGAACTTCTAGTACTATATTGAATAGGAGTGGTGAGAGCGGGCATCCTTGTCTGGTGCCAGATTTCAAAAGGAATGCTTCCAGTTTTTGCCCATTCAGTATGATATTGGCAGTTGGTTTGTCGTAAATAGCTTTTATTATTTTGAGATACATTCCATCAATACCTAGCTTATTGAGGGTTTTTAGCATAAAGGGCTGTTGAATTCTGTCAAAGGCCTTCTCTGTATCAATTGAGATAATCATGTGGTTTTTGTCTTTGGCTCTATTTATATGGTGGATTATGTTTATAGACCTGTGTATGTTGAACCAGCCTTGCATCCCCGGGATGAAGCCTACTTGATCATGGTGGATAAGCTTTTTGATGTGCTGTTGCAATCGGCTTGCCAGTACTTTATTGAATATTTTTGCATCTATGTTCACCATGGATATTGACCTGAAGTTTTCTTTTCTTGTTGAGCCTCTGCTGGGTTTTGGAATCAGGATGATGTTGGTCTCATAAAATGATTTGGGAAGAATTCCCTCTTTTTGCATTGTTTGGAATAGTTTCAGAAGGAATGGTACCAGCTCCTCTTTGTATGACTGGTAGAATTTGGCTGTGAGTCCATCTGGACCTGGGCTTTTTTTGGGTGGTCAGCTCTTAATTGCTGCCTCAACTTCAGACCTTGTTATGGGTCTCTTCAGGGTTTCAGCTTCTTCCTGGTTTAGGCTTGGGAGGAGGCAACTGTCAAGGAATTTATCCATTTCTTCCAGGTTTACTAGTTTATGTGCATAGAGTTGTTTGTAATAATCTCTGATGATGGTTTTAATTTCTGTGGAATCTGTGATGATATCCCCTTTATCGTTTTTTATTGCATCAATTTGGTTATTCTCTGTTTTCTTTTTTATTAATCTGGCTAATGGTCAGTCTATTTTGATGATCTTTTCAAAACACCAGCTCCTGGATTTATTGATTTTTTGAAGGGTTTTTTATGTCTGTATCTCCTTCAGTTCTGCTCTGATCTGAACTATTTCTTGTGTTCTGCCAGGTTTTGAGCTTTGTTGATCTTGCTCCTCTAGCTCTTTCAATTTTGACTATGGGGTGTCAATTTTAGATCTCTCCTTGCTTCTCATGTGGGCACTTATTGCTATATATTTTCCTCTAGAGACTGCTTTGAGTGTGTTCCAGAGATTCTGGTATGTTGTGTCTTCATTCTCATTGTTTTTGAAGAACATCTTTATTTCTATTTTCATTTCATTGTTTATCCAGTCAACATTCAAGAGCCAGTTGTTCAATTTCCATGAAGCTGTGCAGTTCTGAGTTAGTTTTTGAATTCTGAGTTCTAACTTGATTGCACTGTGGTCTGAGAGACTGTCTGTTGTGATTTCCGTTCTTTTGCATTTGCTGTGGATTGATTTACTCCCAATTATGTGGTCAATTTTAGAGTAGGTGTGATGTGGTGCTGATAAGAATGTATATTCTGTGGATATTTGGTGGAGAGTTCTGTAAATATCTGTTAGGTTTGCCTGGTCCAGGTCTGAGTTCAAGTCCTGGATATCCTTGTTAATTTTCTTTCTGGCTGATCTGTCTAATATTGACAATGGGGTGTTAAAGTCTCCCACTATAATTGTGTGGGAGTCTAAGTCTCTTTGTAAGTCATTAAGAGCTTGCCTTATGTATCTGGGTGCTCCCGTATTGGGTGTGTGTATATTTAGGATCGTTAGCTCTTCTTGTTGCATTGATCCTTTTACCATTATGTAATGTCCTTCTTTGTCTCTTTTGATCTTTGTTGCTTTAAAGCCTATTTTATCAGATGAGAATTGCAACTCCTGCTTTTTTTGCTCACCATTTGCTTGGTAAATCTTCCTCCATCCCTTTATTTCGAGCCTTTGTGTATCCTTGCATGTGAGACAGGTTTCCTGGAAAGAGCACACCTATGGGTTTTGGCTTTTTATCCAATTTGCCAGTCTGTGTCTTTTGATTGGGGCATTTAGTCCGTTTACATTTAGGGTTAATATTATGTGTGAATTTGATACTGCCATTTTGGTGCCAGCTGGCTGTTTTGCCCATTAGTTGATGTAGATTCTTCATTGTGTCAATGCTCTTTTACCATTGGCATGTTTTTGGAGTGGCTGGTACTGGTTGTTTCTTTATATGTGTAGAGCCTCTTTCAGGAGCTCTTGTAAAGTCAGCCTGGTGGTGACGAAATCTCTGAGTACTTGCTTGTTCGCAAAGGTTTTTATTTTTCCTTCACTTATGAAGCTTAGTTTGGCTGGATAGGAGATTCTGGGTTGAAAGTTCTTTTCTTTAAGGATGTTGAATATTGGCCCCCACTCTCTTCTGGCTTGTAGGGTTTCTGCTGAGAGATCTGCTGTGAGTCTGATGGGCTTCTCTTTATAGGTAACCTGACCTTTCTCTCTGGCTGTCCTTAGTATTTTCTCCTTCATTTCAACCCTGGTGGATCTGACGATTATGTGCCTTGGGGTTGCTCTTCGTGAGGAATATCTTTGTGGTATTCTCTGTATTTCCTGGAGTTGAATATTTGCCTGCCTTGCTAGGTTGGGGAAGTTTTCCTGAATAATATCCTGAAGAGTATTTTCCAGCTTGGATTCGTTATCTTTGTCGCATTCAGGCACACCTATCAAACGTAGATTAGATCGTTTCACATAGTCCCACATTTCTTGGAGACTTTGTTCATTCCTTTTTTCCCTTTTTTCTCTAATCATGCCTTCTTGTTTTATTTCATTGAGTTGATCTTTGACCTCTGATATCCTTTCTTCCGCTTGGTCAATTCAGCTGTTGAAACTTGTGCGTGCTTCGCGAAGTTCTCGTGTTGTGTTTTTCAGCTCCATCAATTCACTTATATTCCTTTCTAATTTGTCCATTCTCATTAGCATTTCGTCAAATCTTTTTTCAAGGTTCTTAGTTTCTTTGCATTGGGTTGGAACATGTTCTTTTAGTTCTCAGAAGTTTCTTTCTACCCACCTCCTGAAGTCTGATTCTGTCATTTCATCACACTCATTCTCCATCCAACCTTGTTCCCTTGCTGGTGAGGAGCTGTGATCCCTTGTAGGAGGAGAGGTGTTCTGGTTTTGCGTGTTTTCATTCTTTTTGCGCTTGTTTCTTCCCATCTTTATGGATTTATCTACCTGTCGTCTTTGTAGTTGCTGACTTTCAGATTGGGTCTCTTGAGTGGACGTTCTGTTTGTTGATGATGAAGTTATTTCTGTTTCTTAGTTTTCCTTTTAACAGTCTGGCCCCTCTGCTGTAGGACTGCTGAGGTCCACTCTAGGCTCTGCTTGCCTGGGGATTGCCTGCAGCAGCTGCAGAACAGTACGGGTTGCTACCAGTTTCTTCTTCTGCTATCTTTGTCCCAGAAGGATACCCGCCAAATGTCAGTCTGATCTCTCTTTTATGAGGTGACTCTTTCTATATATAGGGGTCAAGGAGCTGCTTGAGGAGACAGTCTGTCCTTTATAGGAGCTCAGGTGCTGAGCTATGAGCTCTGTTGTTCATTCAGAGCTGCTGGGCAGGTACCTTTAGGTCTGCTGCAGCAGAACTCATAAACTGCTTTTTGTTCCCAGGTGCTCTGTCCCAGGGGGTTAGGGCTTTATTTATGAATTTCCGTTGTGCTGCTGCCTTTTTTTTTCTCAGTGCTGCCCTGTCCAGCAAGGAGGCAACCTGGTCACAGTCTACCTGCAGAGGCTTTGCTGAGCTGCTGTGGGCTCCGCTCAGCTGCCGTGTGAACTTCCCTGCCGTCTTGTTTATATGGGTGTAGTTAGAACTGCCTTGGCAATGGTGGCCCGCCTCTGTATTGGTGGACTCTCTCTGTAATGGCAGGTTGCCTTGACAATGACAGCAGCCTCAGCAATGACGGGTTGCCTTGGCAACGGCGGGCTGCCTCAGCACCTCAGCAGTGGCAGACTACCTCCGTAGTGGTGGAGTGCCTTGGTAATGGCAGACGCCCTTCCCCCACAGAGCTGGACTGTCCCGGGTTCAGCTACACTTGCTGTGAATCTCTCCATCCAGAGAGTTTCTGATTGCTGTTCTTTTGTGGGGATGGGACCAGCCGAGCCTGATCACCTGGCTTCCTGCCTCAGAGCCTTTTTTTTCATTTTTAGTTGAACAGTCGACTCTATCCCAGTTGCCTGTTGAAAGGGCGCCGGGATCTGTGTGATTTCCCATGCAGCAACTCACTGTTCCGGTTTAAACAGCGGTGCTGAGATTCTTGGCGCTCTTTTTGCCCAGAAATCTCCTGGACTGGCTCCCTGTTCAGTCCCCTCTTTAATCAGATGAATGGGCGACTTCCCGGGTCTCCAATCGCCAGCCAAAAGGGCACCCGGACCAGTTTATTTTGTATGGAGAACTGCTGGCTGGGGCACCGACAAAGCAGCTGCATAGACCAAAAGAACCGCGTCGGCCAAAACAGCTGCGCTGGTGACTCGTGGGGCTCCTCCGCCTGGGAATCTCCTGGTCCGTGGGCAATAAAAATGCGGCATCCACTCACCCTCTGCGCTTTCATTAGGAGCTGCCACTCCAAGCTGTTCCTAAACGGCCATCTTGGATCTTCCTCCCTTTTCTATCTTTAGAGAAGAAAAGGGGTTTTAGTTATTTAATTTAAAATAGATATTGTACTACGGCAATATACATTTTTATTATTTTATTGACCTGACGTTCAGCACACTGTCTTTTTATAGCTATAAATAGCTCTGTTGCACATGCACCAGGAAGGATGTCCAGTTGCAATTTTAACAGATTAACTGGGTTGCTTCATAAATTAATTAGGTACATATACATATCAGCACATATGCCTTGAAACCTCAAGATTTATTTTTTTAAAAAACTTTTATAATTTGCCATAATTTATCTCTAGCAACATGATGACTGCATATTGTTTTAACTCTGTACTTTTTAGTCGATTTCAAATTTTTGTTCATTATAAATAAGAAGAAAAAATATCCATGCTGACATTATTTTTTTGCAAGTTTAAGCCAAAAGATGTACACTGAGAAAGTTTAAGGCATTATCAAATAGCTCCCAGAGCTTTTAATTTATCCTCCATGCACCAGTGAAAATGCATTTTCTGATGCATTGCCTTTGATAGCACTGATAACTCTCATACTTTTCATTTTATTACAGCTATTTTTTATTATCCAATAATAAATACTCAGAGAAAATAATACAGAAAAGTGTGAGTAAAGAGTGGAATTATTTTTCCCTGTATACCCACTCTAGGCCTCAGTCCTCAGACTTAATTTGTACCACTTTTAATTATTTCTTCAAGTTGTTCTGGCGGTACCTATATAACTCTACCTAATATGATCATTGCTTTATTTCTTGATTTGTCAAAGAAAAAAACACTATTTTTTGATTCCATACTTTGAAATATGAAGAATTAACTTATTTATACTAGTTACATCTTTATTCTACTAATTGTATCATATTATATTTAGGTCTTTTATGAGTTTAAATATCTTTAAACCTCCATTTTTTTCTTTTGTGCTCTCTAACTTCCCTTCCAATTTTTTTTCTCCCACAGGTAAACCAGTTTCCTTTTAAAACATTTTTTTTTCCCATTTATTTATTTTATTGCATTTTAGGTTTTGGGGTACATGTGAAGAACATGTAAGATTGTTGCATAGGTACACACGTGACAGTGTGATTTGCTGCGTTCCTCCCCATCACCTACATCTGGCATCTCTCCCCTTGCTATCTCTCCCCAGCTCCCCACCCCCACCTTCCCTCCCCTATTTCCCCCCAGCTGACCCCAGTGTGTAGTGCTTCCCTCCCTGTGTCCATGTGTTCTCATTGTTCAACACCCGCCTGTGAGTGAGAACATGCGGTGTTTGATCTTTAAACCCCACAACTCTTTTTTAAAGGCTCGTTTTGCAAAACCAGTATATCCAGGACAAACTCTACAAACTGAGATGTGGAAGGAAGGAAACAGAATTCATTTTCAAACCAAGGTATGAATTTTGTTTTGCCACTGTCTCACATGCTTTATCTTTGTGTTCCATCTTAGCGTTTTTTTTTTTCTTTTTTTTTTTTTGGTTAGTATTATGGATTTGAGACAAAACCTAGAAAGTTTCTTTTTAAGTAATGGGAAATTTTAATTAAAAATAAGAAAAATCTTCTCTGGTGTTTTCAAAAATTTTTATTTATCAGGCAACACCTAAAAAAAATAAAATAGAAGTGTTTTGCACCTTGTGTTTTATTTTCTCTTTTCTTTTCAACTAAATTGGTACTTATCTATGTAGCAGTGGCCCAGTTATTATGAAAACTCAACCAACCATGTCTTTTTGGCTCAGCCAGTCAACCAAATCATTGTCAAAAATAGCATCTTAAAAAATTTAGGCCAGGCATGATGGCTTACACCTGTAATTCCAGCACTTTGGGAGGCCAAGTTTGGGGAAGCACAAGGTCAGGAGTTTGAGACCAGCCTGGCCAATATGGTGAAACCTTGTTTCTACTAAAAATACAAAAAAATTAGCTGGGCGTGGTGGTGCATGCCTGTAGTCCCAGCTACTCGAGAGGCTAAGGCAGGAGAATTGCTTGAACCTGGGAGGCAGAGGTTGCAGTGAGCTGAGGTCACACCACTGCACTCCAAGCCTGTAAACAAAGTGAGACTCTAAAAAAAAAAAAAAAAAAAAAGAAAGAATAACTTAAAAAAAAAAATTAAAGGCATTGTACAGATACACAATGAAAACATGACAGCAATCTATTTGACTCATTAACGAAGGATCTTGCAATATGATAAAACATGTTCAAAAGACAAGTAGAACAACCGTTTATATGGTCCAACACAAAAGGTGTTCTAAAATAATTTTGCAAAGTTAGGGACAAAAATAGTTAATATCCTACAGGATAGTAAAATCTTACCCTTTATGATTTTTCTCTGGACAGATATCATATGCATCTTTATTATACAAAAATCCACAAATTAACAAGTTTTATCACAGAGTCCTGGCCTAACGAACAGTAAATGACAAGCCACATAAAGGTATATCTCTCTATAGAGTGAGGTTTTTGGGGTAAGGCTGTTAGCAGTGCTCCAGTAAAATACTAAAAGGACATGTAATCATTGTTTTATTTGCAAATAATTAAAAGACAGTTTTTGTCAACACAGTTGACCAGGCTAATACATTTTGGCCTGATCATTTCATGCTATATGGAGCGTTTTAAACAACTCCAACAATAATAGCAACAGCTTCCACTTACTGAGAACTTGTAAACTGGCAATAGTATTTGCTTTAATATGCGTAATAAATCTGCACGTAAATATAAGAAAATCTAGGTTCCAAAGAAAATCTAATCTAGGTGTCCAAGATAACTTGCTCATAGTCACACAGCAAGTGCCTGAGCTCGGATAGAAACCCAATCAGCATGGCTTCAGGGCTTTGATCCCAGGCCCTAAATGTCTTTTCTGTATCGTGTTTTCTTTCACAAATAGATAACTTTGCAAAATTCTTCTTACGTGGTTGCCTTACTCCTAATTCCTTTCTGCTGGTTGCAATATCATTTTCCTGCTTAATCTGTACATATTGTTTATTTTACTTCTCAAATTCCTCCTGTCCCTTAGGCTTAAGTTCAAGCTCCACTTTCTCTTAGAGGCAGGCTCTTACTACTACTCCCTGCTTTCCTACCCATGCATACGTTCACATTGGTCTCTGAAAGCCTCTGCAGCTAATATATGTGCCACATACTTTGGCGCCTTCTCATTTGCTGATTTGTTTTGTATGACTAAGCTTTGCTTTTTGATTAAGATTATGAACTCTAAGAGTGTTGAGGACCATGACTATATTACAGGTAAATTTATTTTCCTGCGATTCTGGTGACGAGTAGTATGTAAATAATTTCTATGGATACAAACTTGAAGGGCTGAGAAGTGATTAAATGTCTGCATATAATATATTCTTGCCATTTTGTTAAATTCTAAGTGTGCCATCTTATTTTTCCAGCATATTTGCTATATTTTTCCTCAGAGCTTATAGATATGTTTTTCTATTAGTTTTAGTACTCCTTCTCTCCCTTCCTCCTTTTCTTTCTCCCTTCCTTCCTCCATTCCTCCTTTCCTTTCTAAAGATACAAGAAACATTTTAAGCCAGTGTTTTAAAATGATTTGCTTGACTTGGTAACAAAGTAATTTACTAAAGTGCATTTTGTCCATTAATTATATCTTTCCATGCTTTTCAATGTATATAATTTGAAGTCAAATGAACAAATTACTTGAAAGATCTTTTTTTTTTTCTCGAAAATATGATGGATGTAGTCAAGAGAATGATCTTGATTGTTAAAAATCAAAGTTTTAATAAATGCTACCTTAAACTTTAGAAATTTATCCTATACATTTGTAGCAATATCATAATTTGTATGAAAGAATAGCCATTGGAATAATTTCAAATGAAGGATTAGGAATTTGAATTTGAGTTCCTTTAATGACTATTTTGATCAAAGCCTATTTAGGCATTTAATTTATGCTGTGTATACTTCTTCTTGAAATAAGACCTGGAATTACTACTTAAAAACACTATTACTGTTTGTTCCTAGCCAATTTTATTCTATATTAGCAGAAAAAATGTACTTTGAGTATCACTACCTCATGTGGCTATTGTTCTATGCTTTTACTATTTATAAGGATTCAGCATTGACTGAATTCTATTTGTAAGAGTTCATCTCCTGACTACCCTCCTGCAAAGCAAACGAACAAACACACAAACAAACAAACAAACAAGCCCAAAATACCAAGGCCCAGGCTCTATCCCAGCCTATTTACATTGGAATTTTGGGAGATGGGACTTCATTCTCATATATACATATGTATGTGTGTGTGTATGTGTGTGTGTGTGTGTGTGTGTGTGTGTGTGTATATATATACATATATATACACACACACACACACATACACACACACATACATATGTATATATGAGAGCTCCAATTGATTCTGAAGCCAGGGCTAGTATTAGTTGTATTAAATCAGAAAGCCTTTGTGTTTATTCATCTTGAGCCTTTTATTTGGCTTATTATATTCTTTTTCATACTAGGCAAACATAAATTTCTTTTAAATATACTGTTTCACAGTGAAATTGCACTTCCATTGTAATTCAGAGTAAACTTTTTTTTTCCCTTCTCCTTCTAAGGTCCAAGGAACTGGAGATGTTGTCCTTTCAAATGCTTATGTGGATCTTGCACCAACATCTGATATTTCAGCTAAGACACTCTCTGAAGTAGGTTATAAAAATTAGTATCCAAGCCACTTTCTCATTAAGAATTTCAGTTAAGGTGAAGGTGACTTTAAGAATGGTTAGGCTACTTTAGAAAATTAACAAGCATGAAACTATTCTTAATTTTTGAAGCAAAAGACATTGATTCAGAACTACTTGGAATAAAAGGAATACTCTGGCAATTTGTTTTGCAGGATTCTGGGATATATTTCAAGAGAACATAATTTTCTAGTTTTAGAGTAAATAGATCAGTTGTTTAATCAGAATCTTAAGCAAACAACATTTTGGAGAAAAGTAGATTAAAAACTTGAATATCTTGTACTTTTTCTTGATTTAAAGATTTGTATAAAGCTTTATATGCAAATATGTAAACCAATAGTGTATATAACTTATTAAAACATTGTATTATTCTTTATTAGCATGCTGAGACTGTTGATAAAAATGTTTATATTCTATCTCTGAAATATTAACTTTGTAATGTTGAGGTTTTCATACCCATGATCTTTAATTGTCTATCATAAACCACATAGGTGACTGAAAATTAAAGTCCCTTCAGAATAATCTAAGGAAAAAACTTTGGCTGGACTCAGTGGCTCATGCCTGTAATCCCAGCCCTCTGGGAGGCTGAAGTGGACAGATCACTTGAGGTCAGGAGTTCAAGACAGCCTGGCAAACATGATGAAACCCAGTCTCTACTAAAAATACAAAAATTAGCCAGGTTTGGTGGCAGGCTCCTGTAATCCCAGCTATGCAAGAAGCTATGGCAGGAGAATTGCCTGAACCCAGGAGGTGGAGGTTACAGTGAGCCGAGATTGTGCACTCCAGCTTGGGCAGCAAAACAAGACTCCATCTCAAAAAGAAAAAAAAACAAAAACCCAAAACTTAAGAAGTTTTAGAGTTGTAAAGAAATTCAGACTTCATGTAATTTAGTCCCATTTTATAAATAAAAAAATAAGACCATAGAAGTTGATTAGTTTGATCAGAATCTCCCTGAAGTTAGCTGAAACATAGGTTGGCCAGTTCCTATTTTTCTTTTAAAATACAATTTCTGAATTTTAATAAAAGTGAAATCCTCTTATTAAGAGGACTGAGGTTCTGAGTGACATATATAAATATAAAGAAAGTATAAAAGACACATTGTTTGAAAAAACTGTAACTGCGGAGTTTTAAAAAAATCACATTTTTTCACATATAATTTGTAATCACTTTTGTCCTTGAATTATTTTTAAAGAACTTAAAAAAATTTTTCTTGTTGTTAGGGTGGGGAGCTTCAGAGTACCCTTGTGTTTGAGGAAATAGGACGCCACCTAAAGAATATTGGGCATGAGGTGGTGAAGAAAGTAAATGCTGTATTTGAGTGGCATATAACTAAAGGCGGAAGCATTGGAGCTAAGTGGAGTAAGTTATAGCTGTGATTTTATTATTTTCTAAGTTGACTCTTAGTTAATAAAGTATCGTTTTAACAATTAAAGACCTTTGAAGGTAGGTAAGTCTTACCTTTTCAGGTAAGTTGTTTTTTCCACCACGTGGGAATGAACAGGTTTGGGAATGCCCAAAGGTGTGTGTGTGTCTGTGTATGTGTGTGTACAATATAGGGAATCAACTGAAATGAAAATACCTGCTTTTAAGATTTCATCATAATCCTTGAAAGTAGTTTAAACAGCCATCTTGGCTATATGCACCTTTATCTATCTAATCTTCAGCTTCTTAACCATAAGGCAAATTGATCAAGTCAAAATGAAGTATTTTTAAGTCATTATATTTGACAGTTATAAAATTATTTTCTTCATATCAAAACAGTAGTTTGGAGTATCTTAATTATCAGTATAAAATTGCTATTTTCTTGCTATATACAGATTGTAGTCAAAGGTACTTGTTTTAGTCTAGGGAAATTATCTATTAGAGTTCTGTGCACTCAGTATAAAACATCTTGCTGCAGAAAGAAAGCAGTCATATTTCTTTTTCACTAATGTGGAGGTCCAAATGGACCCTGGTACCATTTTGTAAAGAAAGAGAAATTAGAGGATAAAAAGAACCAAGAAAAAATATTGTATCAGATCTTTTGTGTCTGCTGTATAACTCACATCCTTAATCATGGCACAAACTTTTATTTGTAGAGTATTCTAAAATAATAGGATATTCCTCATTTTAGAAAATAAAGGAAATATACCTTTATTTTCCTAGAGATTCTTCAATTAGTTTGTAAAGATGAAAATGGATAGGAGATAGAGAAATAAGTCTCTGAATTCCCTTTGAACAGAGTCTGTTGCTTGCCACAGTTTTCTTACTGTATTTTAGTGATTTATAATTGTATATTTTCTCTCATTTGACCTTGGGCTTAACCCTGAGAAAGGGCTGCAGTTTGTCTATTTCTAGCTTCTAATATGGTCAATAATACATAATAACTAGCCTGACTCTGTACATGTTGAATGAGTGCTAAAAGTCATGTAGAAAGCATAGTTTTAGAAAATAGTATGGCTGCCTTTTTCTGAAATTGATACTGTACCTTCTCTTAAAACAATATGTTTGTTGTATGGATTGTGATGTTATTTTTTATTTAGTATGAGTGAAATATGTAAGTGTAATATGATACCAATGAAATATTTAATAAGTAACTGACATATTTTATAGTATTTATTGCTATTAATTTCTAAAACTAGCCAGAAGTTGTTGTAGTAAACCCTTTGAAAACTATTTTGTTGTTTTAAGCAACAGTAAAAATGCAGAGAAAATGAAAGATGACATAAAGGCATAAGAAAGATAAAGAATCAGAGGATTTATGTGGCCTACAGTACAGCCTCCTTCTGAAAATTAAAACACAGTTACTCTTATCTGAAACTCCAGAAACCAAAACGCTCTATAAATGAACAGTTTTTTTTCTCATAACTGCTGGTGAAGCCTGACTTGAACTTACATGATGCTGTCGATTGTCTTTAACTCACCTAGTGTGAGTTAGTCAAGTATAGAAGTAATATACTTGTTTATAGAGTGTTGCATCATTGGGGCCCTTTTATAATATGCAATACATGTTTTATGCATTATATTTCCTTCCTAAAATCTGATTCCCAATTTCAAAACCCAGCCTGAAGCAATTCATTCAGATAAGGAATTGTGGACCTGTACATGTATATTAATAATTCTTATAGAACACAAGTGATAAGAGACATGGAAAAGGGTGCTCTCCTTTCAGAGAATGGGAGGATTGTGTCATTCAGTAAACATTTGAGTATGTGTCAAGTTCTCTGCTAGGTGGAGACTACAAATATGAATAGACAGGATGCCTTTTTAAAAAAATCCATAGGAATAATTATTTAGAGGCAATGTGTCAGGAAAGCTGAAAGCTGAAATACTGGGGTTGAGGAAACAAAGGTTGTTGCATTGCAGAGTAAGGGGAAGGAAGACCTCAATTAAGGAAATGGTAATAAAGGACAGGAGAGGGCCTATGTAGAACTATTGCTAAGATTGAATTGACTAATTTAGCTACTGATTATGTCTAAAAAACAACAGGAACGAGAGAGGCAAAACTAATGCTGTGGTTTTGAGCACGTGTGCTTGAGGATGTTGGCTCCATTACTAGAAGTAAGAAACAGGTAGAGGAGGGAGGTTTGGGAGAGAAGATGATTAAGTTGTGACCAAAACTGTAGCCAACCAAGATCTGGACTAGATTGTGGGGACTGTGGACCTGGAATTTAGGAGTAACTTCATAGCTGGAGGCAGAGAGTTGGAAACCATATTTGAGGAATTAGTAGTTGGAATTAAGAACGTTAGCTTCAGCACCTTGCTTCATGACATGCAGGAAGAAAATAGAAGGAAAATCTTTGCTGGTCCTGAAGGATTATCTGCTTTTCCTGTTCACTTTATGGAATAGTGGTTCTAATATTTCCATTTGTCTGTAAACAAGGTGAATATCATAGAATTTGGCCCACAGGTTTTAAATATGTAATTTATTGGTATTCTAGACACAGACAGTCCTATACTTTCAAATAGGAATCTATTGTCTGTATGTATCCAATACCTGTAAAATAATATTACTGAAACTTTTTACAAAGATTTATTTCCATGTGCTAAATACAATGTTGCTGAGCAAAATCTGTTTTATTTTCTTTAGGATGATAGTTTAAGCTGTGTTTGTCATTGAGCAGTTTGGTTGTTATCCTTCTGTATTTAAATTTGGTTTCCTTTCACATATTTGTAATCTTTTCCATTATAGGAACATAAGTGGAATTTACAGTTAGATAGCAAGGTAGTACAAATACTATGGATTTTTGTTTGAATATTATTTGTTAAATAATAAAATAAGCCGAGTTTAAATATATGTATATATATACTATAATTGCATAGAATTAAGTCTGCATATCTGGACTAAATCCAAGCCTCCATTATGTACTGTATATGTACTATAGGATGATGTGACTGGATGAAGATGTTCTTTAAATATTAGAGCTTAGCTATTTTGAATCCTAGACATTTGCCACAATATATAAGAATATACAGAGGTTTGAGAGCTGGCATTCTTTTGATACCAGAATTATTAATTCTTGAGGATACCATGTGATTATTAAAACCTGTGAGCTCCTGGGTTGATGCTCATCTAGCAGTCAAACCAGATTGCCGCTTAGGTCTCTCAACTTGGATGTAAACTAAATCTCAAGGGTGTTGGTTCCAAATTTTGGATTTGGATTGAAATGAGCGTCTCATTCATTTATAGAAAAGCCCTGAAAGATATTATTTGGAAAGAAATATGTTGTCCATTTAGGAATGGGGTCCTGTTTGTTGGAGACATATGTGCCTCAGGGTCACTCTCTATTCCCTAAGCAACACTGACTGCTTCTTCTCTTCCAGGAGCAGCTCCTGGCTGCATGCTCATGTACATTTATCTTCAAAAGTACACACGAATGCACAACATTATTTAAAACAATTCTGACTTTCTATCTTCTGTGTGTTATTCATCTTAGTAACGTCATTTTGTAATTTTTTTGTTTGAAACAATTTCAGAATTATGGAAAAGTTGCAAAAATGCTACAGAGAACTTTTGTCTGTCTTTCATCCAGTTTTGTCAAATTGTTAAAATTTGATCTCATCTTCTTTACTAATTTTTTCCTTCATATGCGTTTTTTTCTTCTGAAGCATTTAAGAGTAACTTGCAGACATGATGTCCCTTTATGCCTAAGAGACTATTCTAGTAGCATTTTCTGAGAACAAAGACATTCTCTTAACTAGTCACACAACAATGATCAATATCAGGAGATAAACATTGATACAGTATATTAGCTAATCCACTGTTCTTGTTACTATTTCAACATTGTCCCAATAATATCCTTTATAGCGAACATTGTCCCAATAATATCCTTTATTATTAAAATGAAGAAAGAAGAGAATTGATCGGGGTCCGATCTGGGATTGTACATTACATTTGGTTCTTAGATCTGTAGTCTGCTTTAATTTGGAGAAGTTCCTCAGTCTTTGCTTTTCCTGATTTTGAGATATTTGAAGACTGCAGACCGCAGACCAATTATTTTATAGCATGTTTCTTGGTTTGTTTTTAGTTGATTTTTTTATGACTAGTTTTAGTTTATGAACTTTTGGCAGAATAACACAAAAGTAGTATGCTCTTGGTGTGACTTTTTTAACCTTAATTTTTAACCTGAGGTTTTTTATTTGTGTTTGTTACTATTAATATATATTGTATATATATTTTTGGAGGGTAGATATCCTTCTTTCATGTGCTTTTCCATGTAATAAATAATTCCTAAGTACTTTCTCGTCAAGGAAGTATAGGGGATACAAAGACAAAACATGTTTGTGCCGGCAAAGACCTTCTAATGTTAAGGGAAGGAGGCATAAACAAAAACGGTTCCTTCTTTCTCCTGTAGTAGCCCTTTGTGGTTTGTAAAGTATATATCCTAATAAGATCCTCAGGGGTCTCCAAGTTTTCAAATGTCATATTCTCATTTCAAATGCCAAGTTACCTCACCCCTTCCTCATTAAATGCTGTAAAGTATGACTGAAATTGTTATGGACTCTTTCAGAAACTTAATTACATAAATACAGAGCTAAAAATCAACAGTAAGATGGCTATAATGAATTCTGCCACTAAGAGAAAATGAATACAATCTATTTCTTCACTTCTGCAATAAGATTAGGTGTGATCTTACAGGTGTCTATAAACTCAAGGTGATGGTGGTGGTTGGAGACCATGACCTGAGCCACTACAGAATTTGAAGTTCCACTTCTTCACCTCAAATTTCTGTTTTCTTGTATTTCTGTATTTTGCTTTTTTCTAAATGACAAATAATATATAATCGATAGATAGAGTAAGTGTAGAATAAATGTCATATTAACTTGGAAACTATTTTACTTGGTTTATTTTACCCTCATTTTGTGGAGAGAAAAAGATACACATTGGTTTCTTCCTATTTTTTCCAGCTATTGACTTGAAAAGTGGCTCTGGAAAAGTGTACCAAGGCCCTGCAAAAGGTGCTGCTGATACAACAATCATACTTTCAGATGAAGATTTCATGGAGGTGGTTCTGGGCAGGCTTGACCCTCAGAAGGTAATGTTCTCAAATGTTCATTTATTCATTGTTTTATTGTTTCCTCTTTGACAATTGCACTTTTTGAGCTGACTCCTAAATTCTGATTTATAAGACAGGTTTCTTAGAACTCTGAAGATCACACAGTTAATACTGATATTCTGGTTGACAGGTCATATATTTCTTTTTTAATGGGGTTTCAGCTGACACTTTTTAAGACTGATTCTTTTTGAGGGGGCGGTGAAATTTCTCTTCAGGATGCAGTATAATAATGTAGAACCCACATCTAGATTTTTAAATAACATTCTGTTGTGTGTTCAAAGGTGAAAACCACATATTAGTAGATACTACATAAAATTAGACACTCCCAATATATAAAATTAAGAAATCATTGAATATTGAAAATAGAAGAATATTTTAACGTAATAGCCAATGTCTTACTTAAGGTGAATCTTAGAGGCATTTAAGTGGAAAATCATGATTAAGACAAGAGTGCCTTCTGTGACCATTGTTCAGTTAATATTATTCTGAAACTTTTGGCCATTCCACAAATATACAAAATTAAAGTAAATATACAAAATTTTATCAACTAAAGTAATTGATGTGACAATTAGAATGGAGGAGAAAAATTTATTTTCATTTTGTGATTATGTAGCTGGAAATCCCAAGAGAACAAACTTTTTGATTTTTAGAATGAAGGCGTTCAAACAAGTGGATGAGTACAGTTATTAAAAAATAGCTTTCGCATAGAAGTAATTTGAATAAATGAGGAAACATTTAGTTTTCTTGTGTAGAAAAACTAAAAGGAATTGTAAGTAATATAGTAGGTAAAAAGTAGTCTTTGGCATCCAATAAAATCTAAATTTGAATCTTGGCCCTATCACTTCATCTGGAAGCTTTAATTTTCTCATTTGTAAAATAAGTATAATAATTGTAATGTTTACAAAGCCTTGTTGTAAGAACTAAGCCCAATAATATGTATGAAGAGCTAGTATAGTGCTTGGCAATGCAGTGAACCCTCTGTTAATTTCTTTCCAGGAATTTATTTAGTACCTACTCTGATTCAGGTTGTACGTATTGGCTGAATTATCACAAAACCCTACTGTATAGAACTTCGTTTTAGTGTACTAATGCAAAGGAAATAAAATCTCAAGTTAGAGAAAAATAAGGCAGAATAAGAGTGTTAGAGCAATAACTGACAAACTTTTTCTGCAGAGGGTTACATAGTAAATATTTTTGGCTTTGTGGGCAAGATGGTCTCTCTGTTGCAGCTCTTCAGCTTTGCCATTGTAGACTTAAAGTAGCCATAGAGAATATGTAAACAATGGAGTGTGACTGTGTTCCAGTAAAACTTTATTTACAGAAACAGACAGCTGAGTAGATCCGGTTCTCTGGCTGTTTTTTGTCAACCCTTGAGTTAGAGTGTGACAGAACAGGGGAACTATTTTAAACAGGGTTGTTTAAAGTCCTGATGGGGGTTTTCTAAGATACCTGAAATGCCTGCTAGAGACTTGAACAGAGTACCAGAATGAGTCATCAGGCTAAGGAAACAGCTAGTACAAAGACCACCGCCGGAGGAACTTGGCTCCACTTAGCCTTCTCTGAGCTCGGTAGTGATAGAACCAACCCTTGATTTAACCACTCTAGTGGGAAATTTCACCAGCGTGTCAAACTTACTGTGACCCAAATAGAACTTGTGATTTATTTTTCTCTCCCAATCTCTTCCTTCTCACTCAGTGGCACCATCATCTGTCTACCCAAATTAATAAGCCCAGACATGTAAAAATTATCTTAGATTCCTTCTGCCCTTCTGTATCCTTTTCATCCTCACTTCTCTCTGACCTTTCTCCATAATATATCTTGAATTCATCTTCTCTTCCTCTCTAGGGATATCACCGTGATCCTAGCCTGTGTTATCTCTCACCTGTCTTACTTCTTCCAGGCTTGTCTCTCTCATTCAGTCTGTTGTTCTCCACCCAGGAGCCAGAGTAGTCCTTTAAAAATGTAAATCAGATTATTTATGTATGTTAGTCATTTCTACTACTGTCATTAATTGCTGGTTCATATTTATCATCCCACTTGATAAAATCTCCAAGATTTCATTTTGCAAGTGTATAAAATCCAAGCTACCTAGTACCATGCTGTATGTGATGTTTCTTTACCTTGCTCATTTTTCTGGCTTCATCCCATGCCACATGCCTCATCACCTGCAATGGTAATTCTAGTTATTTTGTCCTTCCTGTCAGTTCCTTCCCATCAGCTTTTACTCCTTCAATGTCTATGCATTTGCTTTTGCTGGAATTCCTCCTCCTAGCTGTTTGCATGGCTGGCTTCATTTCATCCAAAGTAGTTTCTTCCTGTTATATTCTAATAGCTTCCTGTTTTCTCTTTCATTGTGTTTATAACAGGCTTTAATTATTTGTTTACATTTTACTTTTTGACTCCCCTAGTTTAATGTTAGCTCTGTGAGAACAGGGACAGATATTCAGCCTAGCCTAGAATGTTGCCTAGTATACTGTAGACATTCAGTTAATGCTTGGGTAAATTAAAGCAAATATAGAAGTAAGGAATGAAAGCTCAATAACAGTAGATTAGGCTACATGGAAATTAGAAACTTCTGCCTGTCAGACTCTATAGTATATTTCCATAAATCAAGGGAAAAAATAAAATGATGATATATAGTATATTGATATTATTAATATATAAAAAATTCTTGAAGCACTACAACCTCAATAGAAAAAGTGAACAAAATATATGGAACAGTAATTAATGACATGAATAGAAATGACTAACAAACAAGAGAAAAAACATTTTTCCCAGTATCCAAAAATGCAAATTAAAGCATGTTATTTTTGCCTCATATTTTCAAAGTGTAAGAAAATACTATTTTTATGGTTGGGATAAGATAATTCACATGCAGCTGGAGGGAATATAAAATTGCTATAGGCTAGGCACAGTGTCTCATGCCTGTAATTCCAGCACTTTGGGAAGCCAAGGCCAGAGGATTGCTTGAGTCCAGGAGTTTGAGCTTAGGCAACATAGGGAGACCCTGTCTCTACAAAAAGGAAAAAAAAAAAAAATTAAATTAGCCAGGTGTGGTGGTACACACTTGTAGTCCCAGCTACCTGGGAGGTTGAGGTGGGAGGATCACTTGAGCCCAGGAGGTTTAGGCTGCAGTGAGCTGTGATCATGCTACTGTACTGTAGCCTGCGTGACAGAACAAGACCCTGTCTCGGTCAATCAGTTAATAGTTGGTATAGTCTTTCTGGAAAGCACAGTGCTTCCAGACCTTCTTCCTTTGTGGCAGTTTATAGTCTTACTACTTTTTGCTTGGCACTCCTAGGCCAAACCATCTACCCAACAGTTTCATTTATAAAGCAGTTTGAAACAATTAGTTTTTTTGTGTTTGACCATAATAACTGTATTTTCCTCCAAAATTTACAGTATTCCACAGTGCCCTGAGAGTTTGCTGTGATGTCAGGTGCATGGCAGAGAAGAGTTGGGAAACTGGCAATATGGATGTATGGTTAAGAACTTTAAGAAATAGGAAAATAGATAGAAGGAAAGAGTTATGTACAAAATTCTTATCAAAAATAACTATCAAAAATTGATATTTTTACTGAAAGTAATTAGGTATTCTTGTTTTAGGTTGTAAATCCGTTTCAGAGTAGCACTTGGCAGGCTGGTCTAAGGATCTAAGTATTGATTCCTTCCCTGCATGAGTTGCAGACCATTGTTTTGTTTGCTTGTTTGTTTTTGTAACTGCATAGTGAAAAAAATCTTAGTTTTGAAATCCTGGTCTCTTGTTTGAATGCATTTGATTATGACTGAATGAGCTCTGTCTCAGTATTTCTGAAATAAAAAGTTGTTGCCTTTTCGCCAGTTCACGAGCGTTTGCTTCTGAGACTAAGTGCTCCTAGTTAACAAGTATTGTTAACAAGCGTTGCTGAGTTTAAGCCCTGGCCCTACTTCTTGCTGGCTCTGTAGACTTGAGCAGATTATTTAATAAGCTCTCTGAAATTCATTTTCTTGTATGTCAACTGGGGTAAGAACTACTGATGTGCCCACTTCAAATTGACAGCTGTGATTCTTAAGTGAGATTATATTTGTGGAGCTGCTTTGTAATACTAAGTGTATATAGATACCACTATTTTCTCCATTTAGCTAGAAATCTAGAGGCTTTTTCACTTCATATTTTATGTAAGCTATAAAAACTTGTGGTTTATTACTTTTACTGGTAGGGAATTTGCACTGAAGGAGAATTTAAGCAACTTGCACAAATTTCTGTATCAGGTTAGCTACAGAAGTAGTATAGGAACCCTTCGTTTTTTAACACACCAGCTTTTGCTTGGTAATAATGATGAATTAAGACTCCCTACCACATGTTGAACTACTAAGCTAAGCAGTGTAAAGATAATTTTAGTTAACTCACACAATAGAGTTGTGTTATATAGGTGCTGTTGTCATGCCTTTTATAGATGAGAAGATTGAGGCTCAGAGAGGCTAAGTATTCTAAGCATTTGCTCCAGCTCACCTTGCTATTAAGGGGCAAAGCCTGGATTTTAACTTAGGCATTCTGAAGCTGTAGCTGTGATCTGTTTACTGTTGTGTTATATTCTTTAATTTGTCATTACATGGCTTTCTAGTGCATGAAAATGTAAATATTTTAAATCTGCTTTTAAAAGTTCAGAATTGAATATTATGAGGAATACAGTATAGCCTTTTATTAATATGGCCTCAAATTCATATATAAGAATATAAAGTAAAGCCAGAAACATAGGTTGAAACAGAACTCCCAGATCTGTGAGTTCAGATAAATTATTGTGTAGTATTCTAAAATACACAGGAATCATTTTTTCTTTTTTTCTTAGATATCTTAAAAATACAGGCTATCTATAGTTATTAAATTGTCATTGTGAAATAAAAGTTGCCTTTATTGTCTAGAATTATTAACTCAATTGTATTCAGCCTGAATAATGATCTTAAAAAAAAATTAGTAAACTATAACATTGTAACAGTTGGCACTCTTTTCCCTCCTCTCCTTGCAGGCATTCTTTAGTGGCAGACTGAAGGCCAGAGGGAACATCATGCTGAGCCAGAAACTTCAGATGATTCTTAAAGAATATGCCAAGCTCTGAAGGGCACACTATACTATTAATAAAAATGGAATAATTAAATACTCAATTCACCCAAATATGCTTGATTATTCTGCAAAAGTGATTAGAACTAAGATGCAGGGGAAATTGCTTAACATTTTCAGATACGAGATAACTTCAGATTTTCATTTTCTACTAATTTTTCATGTATCATTATTTTTACAAGGAACTCTAAGGTAGCACCTAATTATCCTTCTGTTCTTAGATCTGTATCTTCATAATAAAAAATTTCACCCAAGTCCAGTTTCTTTAGAATTTGCAAGAGCATTGATAAATTGAAAGAAAAATTAAATCAATAAAGGCCTTTGTTACCTTTTTTGTGATTTTCTTTTTCTTTTATTTATTGATATTCCAGTTTTTATGTAAATTTCCATGTATGCACTCATTTTTCACACTTTGTTCTGATAGTATTCTGTTTTAAAGCAAGAGAAAAGTCTTTGTGCTTCAAAATAGTTCTCTTTGTTCTCCCCTCCCCTTTGCTGGAAATTCTTTACTACATATAATGCTTGTAAATCTACCAAGTATAGCTCTCTTGAATAATCAGCAGTCTCAAAAAAGATGGTCACTAGCAAGTACTGCCACATCACTATTTTTCTCAACATTTAGCTTGGATGAAGTGTGCTGTGAGATACTCTTTGGATGAGTTGTATGCAGAGGTGACCAGCAGCAAGTGGGATGCTAAGGTCAGGGATGGAGTAAATTTCAATCATGTAACAGCTGAGGAGAATATGTGTGGGTGGCTAGTACAGCTGAGTTTCCCAGGAAGCTGACTTTGAGATGGAGATTCATGTGCAGGAAGTTGATTTGGGAGTGGTTTTAGGAGCAGCACCCACCAGGGGAAGCAAAGGAAACAGGACTGGGCAGATGGAGACATTAGGCTGTGGTTGCAGTTATCATAAGACCTTGACCGATTTTTTGGGGAACTCCAAAGCTGGGATGGTCATTCAGAATCGTCCTGAGGCAACTAGTCATTGGTTATGACCTGCTCTGCAGTGGGGCCATGACTTTAGTCAAAGCGGCAGGGCAGTTCCTGGAGTTGGCTTACCCAGAAATTGGGGTAATATGTCTTTAAAAAAATTTTTTTTAAAATCCTTAAACTTTTAAGTGCAGAGTACATGTGCAGGATGTGCTGGTTTGTGACATAGGCAAACATGTACTATGGTGGTTTGCTGCACAGCTCATACCATCATCTAGATATTAAGCCCAAGATCCATTAGCTTATTCTTCCTGATGCTCTCCCTCCTCCCACCTTCGCCCACCCCAACACTCCTACTGTGTGTTGTTCCCCACCATGTGTTCATGTGTTCGCATCATTGAGCTTCCTTTTATAAGTGAAAAATGCAGTATTTGGTTTTCTGTTCTTGCGTTAGTTGGCTAAGGATAATGGCCTCTAGCTCCATCCATGTCCTGCAAAGGACATGATCTCATTCTTTTTTATGGCAGCATGGTATTCCATGGTGTATACGTACCACATTTTCTTTATCCAGTCTATCATAACATGGGCATTTGGGTTGATTCCATGTCTTTGCTATTGTGATTAGTGCTGCAGTGAACATTTGTATACCTGTACCTTTTTAATAGAATGATTTATATTGCTTTGGGTAAATACCAATATGGGATTGCTGGGTCAAATGGTATTTCTGCCTCTAAGTCTTTGGGGAATTTCCATACTGTCTTCCACTATGGTTGAATTAATTTACACTCCCCCAACAGTGTAAAAGCGTTCCTATTTCTTCACAGCCTTACCAGCATCTATTGTTTCTTGCCTTTTTAGTAATCGCCATTCTGACTTGCATGAGATGGTATCTCATTGTGGTTTTGATTTGCATTTCTCTAATAAGTGATGGTGTTGAGGTTTGTTTTTCATGTTTGTTGGCCACATGTATGTCTTCTTTTGAGAAGTGTCTGTTCATTTCCTTTGCCCACTTTTTAATGGGGTTGTTTTTTTCTTGCACATTTGTTTGTGTTCCTTGTAGACTCTGGATATTAGCCCATTGTCAGATGGATAGATTGCAAAATTTTTCTCCCATTCTGTAGGGTGTCTGTTCACTCTAATGATAGTTTCTTTTGTTATGCAGAAACTCTTAAGTTTAATTAGATTCATTTGCCATTTTTTGCATTTGTTGCAATTGCTTTTGCCATTTTTGTCATGAAATCTTTGCCTGTGCCTGTGCCTTGAATGGTATTGGCTAGATTTTCTTCTAGGGTTTATGGTTTTGGGTTTTTACATTTAAGTCTTTAACCTATCTTGAGTTAATTTTTATGTAAGGTATAAGGAAGGGGTCCAGTTTCAATTTTCTGCATGTGGCTAACCAGCACTCCTAGCATCATTTATTAAACCTACTAGGGAATCTTTTTTCCATTGCTTGTTTTTGTCAAGTTGGATGAGGATCAGACAGTTGTAGGTTTGCAGTCTTCTTATTTCTGAGTTTTCTATTCAGTTCCATTGGTTGGTGTGTCTGTTCTTGTAACAGTACCATGCTGAGGAATATATCTTTCAATCCTGAACAGGGCTTTGTAGAACTCAGCACAACACTTTGTTTGAGGAAACAAGAATGTAGATTCAGGGATCAGGGGAGAAGGTTTCAGAAATTTGGAATTGCAATACTCAGAACAGTGATGGAACATAGTAGAAGACCTCAATATGTTAACTGATTTTAATGGGTGAACAAGATAAGTAGTGAGCATAGAAACAAATTATATTTCTGGCAATTACGCCTTTTTCTCATGAACTGTATACTATTTGAAAATTTAATTCATAGTGATCTGTTATGCCAACTGAATTAAAAAGAACAATGGCAGTATTTTCAATGTTGGTCTATTGTACTAAATAGTTGTTTTTGATCAGCTTGGAAAAGCTTAGTGTCCAATAGAAATAGCATTTTAAAATAAATGCCACCATATATTAATGAAAGTGTTGATTATATAGTCTAGATACTTAAAATGTAAGGCAGTTATGATTTAGTTATCTTACACATCTCTGTCAATAATAATGGTCAGAGAACTACTCATATCCAGATTTGGTAACTTATTAGTCATGCTCCTTAACACTTCTGTAATATTTAATATTGTCAAATGCCCCAATCTCCTTAATTCTTCTTACCTTTCAATGAGAAATATATTAACTTCTTTTTTATTTTAATTGTACTTTAAGTTCTGGTGTGCATGTGCAGATCTTGAAGGATTGTTGCATAGGTACACACATGCCATGGTGATTTGCTGCCCTCTCCCCCGTCACCCACATCAGACGTTTCTCCCACTGTTATCCCTCCCCAACCTCCCCACCACCTGCTGTCCCTCCCCTAGCCCCCACAACAGACCCCAGTGTGTGATGTTTCCCTCCCTGTGTCCATGTGTTCTCATTGTTCAACACCTGCCTATGAGTGAGAACATGAACTGTTTGGTTTTCTGTCCTTGTGTCAGTTTGCTGAGAATGATGGTTTCCAGTTTCATCTATGTCCCCGCAAAGGACATGAACTCATCCTTTATTATGGCTGCATAGGATTCTGTGGTTTATATTTGCCACATTTTCTTTATCCAGTCTATGACTGATGGACATTTGGATTGATTCCAGGTCTTTGCTATTGTAAACAGTGCCACAGTGAACATACATGTGCATGTGTCTTTATAATAGAATGATTTATAATCCTTTGGGTATATACCCATTACTGGGATTGCTGGGCCAAATGGAATTTCTATCTCTAGATCCTTGAGGAATCACCACACTGTCTTGCACAATAGTTGAACTAATTTACACTCCCACCAAAAGTGTAAAAGTGTTCCCATTTCTCCACATCCTTTCCAGCATCTCTTGTCTCCAGATTTTTTAATGATCACCATACTAACTGGTGTGAGATGGTATCTCAATGTGGTTTTGATTTGCATTTCTCTAATGACCAGTGATGATGAGCATTTTTTCGTATGTTTCTTGGCCTCATATATGTCTTTTTTGAAAAGTGTCTGTTCATATCTTTTGCCCACTTTTGAATGGTTTTTTTTTTTTTTCTCTTAAATCTGCTTTAATTCTTTGTAGATTCTGGATATTAGCCCTTTGTCAGAGGGGTAGATTGCAAAAATTTTTTCCCATTCTGTTGGTTGCCAGTTGACTCCAATGATTGTTTCCTTTGCTGTGCAGAAACCCTGGAGTTTAACTAGATCCCATTTGTCTATTTTAGCTTTTGTTGCCATTGCTTTTGGTGTTTTAGTCATGAAGTCCTTGCCTATGCCTATGTCCTGAATGATACTGCCTAGGTTTTCTTCTAGAGTTTTTATGGTGTTAGGTGTTATGTTTAAATCTTTAATCCATGTGGAGTTAATTTTAGTGTAAGGTGTCAGGAAGGGGTCCAGTTTCAGCTTTCTGTACATGGCTAGCCAGTTTTCCCAACAACATTTATTAAACCGGGAATCCTTTCCCCATTGTTTGTTTTTGTCAGGTTTATCAAAGATCAGATGGTTGTAAACGTGTGGCATTGCCTCCGAGGCCTCTATTCTGTTCCATTGGTCTATGTCTCTGTTTTGGTACCAGTACCATGCTGTTTCAATTACTGTAGCCTTGTAGTATAGTTTGAAGGACAGTAGTGTGATGCCTCTAGCTTTGTTCTTTTTGCTTAGGATTGTCTTGGCTATGTGGGCTCTCTTTTGGTTTCATACGAAGTTTAAAGTGTTTTTTTCCAGTTCTGTGAAGAAGGTCAATGGTAACTTGATGGGGATAGTGTTGAATCTGTAAATTACTTTGGTCAGTATGGACATTTTCACGTTACTGATTCTTCCTAACCATGGGCATGGAATGTATTTCCATCTATTTTTGTCCTCTCTTATTTCCTTGAGTAGTGGTTTGTAGTTCTCCTTGAAGAGGTCCTTCACATCCTTTATTAACTGTATTCCTAGGTATTTTATATTCTGTTAGT